TTATTTTATTTTGAATATTATTGTCATTTAATTGATTAGTTATTCGAACATTATTTATTTCGTTAATAAGATATTTAGCTTGTTGTGTTTTATAATTAAGGACATTAATTGTTGAATATAGAGGAGGTTCACAAAATTTAAATATAATTTCTTTTCCAAAAACATTGGTTCTTATACCATCATCATGAACCATAAAAGGATATAGTTTTGTAATAAAAGGTGTTCCTAGAATTAAAGGAGAAGATAGATCTTTTACTAAAATTAGGTGAGTTTTATAACAGTAATCTTGGTTATTACAAATATGAACATCGAAAACTTTATAATTTACAATTAATTTTGTACCTCCGGCACCAGTAAGTCTAGATGCAGTTTTTTCATAGAATTGTGTAGGAAAAATTCCTTCTTGAATACAATTCATATCAGCACCACTATCAATTAAAGCAGTTAGGTTGATTTTAAAATTATCCTTGACTAAAGTAATTTGAGTGTTCCATTTTTGAGAAACTTGATTATTTATAATTTTTCCAATAGTTACATTTTTAATTTTATTTTCTTCTTCTTTATTAATTTCTATATTTTTGTTTTTAAAAATAGAAGGTTTTTCCTTTTCTAAAATTAAAATTTTATTTTTTATTTCTTTTATCTCTTGTTTTACTATTTTTAATTCTTCTTGAAGTTCTTGCATAGAGATTGGCTTTGCTTCAGTAAATCTTTCATATATATTTTTTAAATTAAAATTTTCATTATTATCAGGAGTTATATTATTAGTTTTATTAAGCATCTGCTTTATTAATAATTCTTGGATATTTTTATCTTTTATAGAATCAAGAGAGTTTAAAAGATCTTTATCATCTTGTGAAAGAACGTTAATAGAACTACTAGTAATTACATTGATTAAATTTTTACAATGACATTTACCAATACATTCGCAAACATCAGAATCTTCTGAACTTGAAGTAGTATTTTCGAGAATATTTAAATCATTTGTTTGAAAATCAGAAATACTTTGATCGGAATCTGAATCAGTATTTAAAATAATTTTTCTTATTTGTTCTTTTAAATCATCAGAAACATTTAACTCATTTATTTTTGTCTTAGCATAACAATTATTAGCTGTATGACCATTACGCCCACATTTATGACAAATAATAATGTCTTTTGATTTTCTCTTAGATTTTTTATAATTTGGTTTATAAGGTTTTTGGATTTTGACGCATAATCTTGGCCTTTTTTATAATTTTCTGGAAGATTATAATTCTTTTTTCTGAAATATTTTGAAGGTCTTTTCTTATATACTTTAGATTTTGAAGTAGACGGACCATTCAAGGGCTGATAACCATATTGTTGGCAAAAATTTCCCAATTCATTTTTACTGTTAATTCTATCTTTTTTGAGCTTTTCTTTAAACCTAAGATCAGCACAAACTGCTAATCCTTCTTTATTAATGTAGTTTATTAGATCTCCATAAGTTAAATTTTGATAAGGGATGGTATTATTAAAACTTTCTCTTAATTTTTGTCTAACTCTTTCAGCAAAGAGTTTTGGAAGGCCAGCAATAAAACGTTCTTTCCAATAAGACTCTTTACAATCAGGTCTTGAAAAAACTTTAACAAGATAATTATCTTTATACCATCTAAAATCAGTATGTTTTCTGCAATGTAAATTCATTAAAATTTCTGAAGTTTTTTCTTGAAAAGTAGTAGGATCTCCTACAAAGTTTTTGATAATAGCAAAAATTAAAGTGTTAACCATATCATCTTCAAACGTTTGTATTTGTTGATTATTTTCTTGTTTTATAATAGTTTTCTTAGCAGATAAAATATAATCTTTTTCTTCTTGTGAAATATAGAAATCCCACCATCCTTTGAGACTACCAGTAATACCGGAAGTAATAATATTAACAATTTGAAGTTGAGTATTATTATGAGCTTTATAAGCATTAGCAGCCATAGTCATTTCTTGTACAATATTCATAATTTGATGTTCAGAATGGCCATCAACATTCCATTCATAAACAGAATTACCATCATATTGAGAACGATCAAATTGAAAAGTTCGTTCTTCTAGTTGCACATCTGGAAGAGAGGGCCTATTCCAATAATTTCTTATGGTTGGCTTTGGATTCTTTCCGAAAGAGCTTCGCTTTGATTGATGAATTTTATTAAGATTTGAAAAATCATTAGTGAGTTGACTAATATCATCATTTGAATTATCAAATTGTCGAGCAAGGGTTTCAAAATTTGTTTCACTATTAATATCACTATTTTCAGCTTCATCATTTGTAAGGGTATTAATACTGTTAGTGTTTGAGATATGGAGTTTTGAAAGTCTTTTTTCTAATTCGTTAATTAAATCCGTATTTCCTAGATTAAAATTACCATCGATTTGACAAGGAACAAAACTTATATTGCTAGTGCTTGCCATATCTTGCTTATTATCATTCTTGTAAATGATTTTTAAAGGAGTCGCAATAGGAGTCGCAATAAACTTATATTGCTAGTGCTTGCCATATCTTGCTTATTCAATTTTAACTAAATGCTCGGTAATACTAGATAATGTTTCATTTGCATAATTATTTTGGTAAATGATTTTTTGAAGACCCTTTTCTGTAGTTAATTGATTTGGGGCTTGAACTAAAGGAGTCGCAATAAACATATCGTTAATAATAATTTCTCCTTTTGGTGGAAAATTAGCAATAATTTCTTTATTAGAAATAATATCTTTATATTGTTTCTCTAAAATGGGAGTGATAGAATTATTTTTAAATGAGTAATTTATTTTATGTTTAGGGGCATAAATTAACTCAAACCATTGAAAAAAAAGGAGAATGAATTTTATTTGATAAAACATAATCTTCCCAAAGGCCTAAATGGAGAAATCTTAAGTAGTATGAAAACTTTTCTTCGTGCCAAGCTCTTTTTTTATTATTGTAATCTTTGAAATACTCAATATTTTTTAAGTAATCAAAGTCAACTTGATATTCTAAATTTGAGAAATTCATTTTAACAGGTTGTTTTTGTTAGGATTGAAGAAATATGTTTTATTGATTCTAAATCATGACTTCGTGATTTTTCGTATTTTTTTATTCCTATAGTTAGCCTAGAAATTTTTTCTATTTGTTTATTATATTCATTAGTATATGGAAGTATTTTGTATAAATTATAATCTTCATGAATTCTAGTTTCTTCTAAATGTTGAATGGTTTTGCATATATTAGAATTTATCTTCCAATGTCTTTTTAACATATTAGCCCAAAGCTTATTATTTTTTGAACAATTAATTTGTACTTTAGAACTCATATTTGTTGTTTAAAATTTTGGAGTTCATCAATAAAATTTGATTTAGTAGGACTAGAAAAACTATTTTCACTATTTTGGTCATCTTAATATAATGGTTTGGGAATAGAATTAGTATAGTCAACAGTTTTTAGTTTTAAAGATCTTGACTTTGATAACGGAGATTTTGAAGAACTTGTTTCTGGGATAAAAGAAGTCGATAATCTGGATGATGAAATTTTTAAGGAAGAAAAATTTATATCTACTGAACCATCATTATATTCTATAATATTTGAGATTTGTTTTGAAGAGTCTAGTGGTTTTGGATCGATAACATTTTGTAAATTCCAGTTACATGATTGAGTTATATCAGACCATTTTAACCTTTTCGGTGTGTGAACTTTGGTATGGTTAGTATTTGCTTCAAAAATAATTGTTTCATTTTTAGGACTCGATAAACGTGTTTTCGGTTCAAGTGTAGTTGTCATGGTTTTGTAACAAACACGATAAATTATTGCTAAAGGCTTTGTATCATCTTTAAATTCTAAATTTTTTGTTTCTACAGTTAATACTAAAGTATCTAAAATATTTTTATCAAATAACCCTACAGAAAAATTTGGATAACAATTGAAATAAATAGGTCCGTTAGCAATATTTGTTTCAGCCATAGCTAAAATAGAATTTTGAAAATCTTTATGTCTCTTGTCTCTTAAAATAAGGAGAACAGGGGCATCTATTCCAAGTCTGAATAAAGGCTTGATAGCAATTTGGACTAAACCAACATGTAAAAATTTATATTTTATTTTATGTTCTAGAATAGATCGTGATGATAATAAATGTAAATTTTGTTGGTTTTGACCAATAGACAAAGTTTGTTCTGTCATTTTAATAGAATAACCTTGAAAATAGTCAAAAGTTCATATTCTATATATTGTATTAACATTAGTTTTAGGTATTGTCCAATCATTCAAACTTTATTCTATGCCATTAACGGTTTCTTCAATAGAATTTATTTGAGTATCATAATCGTGTTCGTTACCGACATTTTTACCAGGAATATATTTTTTAGATAGTATGCGTGAAAATTTACTCATATTTAAATAATTTTGCTTTAAATTTCTTTAAGAAAACTTACTTGTTTTAATAACGATGAACAGAGGCAAATTGTCCCGACGATGATTGTGGTCCGGCACCGTGACTTATGTCCTTATCTGCGCGTTTTACGCTAATCCAACCAATCACTGGTCTTGTCTCTGAGTCATACTTATTAAAACTTGTAAATTTGTTAGAGAATATTAAACCCAAATTAAATAAATATGAAATAAATATATCATACATAACCACCCCAAAATATATATATATAGATATATATATATATATATATATATATATATATATATATATATATATATAATATATAAAAGTGTGTTGAAAATTGTTAATTCCAAAAAAAAAAAAAAAATTAAAGTCAAACAAAGATTTTTTGAAATTATTCGGCTGAAATGAAGACAAATTCTAAATTATATATTTTTAAAATCCAAAATACTCATTTTTTATGATTATTTTAATAAATATAATAAAAGTTAAATCATTCACTCTAATTCTAAAAATTGATGTGGTTATTTTATGATTATCCTTTGAATAGTAACCTGAAAATGGCAGGCACCGTCCATGTCTTCTCCTCAACCTAAATAAGATGTGATTCGTCCAAATCTCCTCTTTCTTCTTTCATCTTCCGAGAGAAACAAACAGAACCTTCACCACAAGTGGCATGTTTATCTCATATCTTCGAGCACGACACCAAGTCTCTTCCACTCAAGTGACCATTATAAACCCTAAATCAAGATGTCGCTATTCAACTGCCAACAGTGATTCTATTTTAACTTAATGAAGACGTAAATTGCAAGTTCCCCTGTTTCAGCGATCCCTGATTAAATCGTGGGTTGATGGAGAAATTGGTATTCGTTAAAGAGCTTCACGCTCGGTTGATTAAAACCCATCTCCACACTGACCCATCATCAATATTTCCCGTAATCCAATCCTATTCTCTTCAGCCAAGTAATCTGCAGAGGACCCTTTTCGTATTTGACCAAATTGAAAGACCCACTTTGTCTATCTGGAACATTGTGATCCGATGCTTTGCGCAGAGCGATCGTCCTGTTTTTGCACTCCATTTGTTTGATGAAATGCGCGACCGAGGATTGATAGGAAATAACCTGACCTCTATATATGTTTTAAAAGCTTGTGGTCGTGCTCAAGATGCTAGCTATGGAGAAAAAATTCACGCACATTCGTTTAAGATGGGGTTCAGATCGTATCTTTATGTTTGCAACTCACTAATTCATATGTATGCTTCATGTAAGCAGTTGGAATGTGCGAAGAGAGTGTTCGATGAAATGCCTGAGAGAGACTTGGTTTCTTGGAACTCCATGATTTGTGGGTATAGTCAATCTAACAGATATAAAGAGGTTTTACGTCTTTTTGATCTTCTCCAAGAAGCTGATCTGATCGCTGATTCAGTAACAATGGTGAAGGTTATATTAGCATGCATCAACATTGGTGACAAGAGCATCGGATTGTCCATGGCTAAGTACATTAAAGATAATATCATAAAAATGGATGTTTACCTTGGAAACACTTTAATCGATATGCATGGAAGACATGGTTCAATGGATTTGGCTCGTGAAGTATTTGATGAAATGGAGGAACAGAATGTGGTTTCCTGGAATGCCATGATCTCAGGTTATGCAAAAGCAGGCGACTTAACAGATGCACGGAAGCTATTTGATAAAATGCCAAAAAGAGATGTCATTTCATGGACTACGATGATCACTGGTTACTCTCAAAGTTCTCAATTCTCTGATGCATTAACTCTCTTTATCGACATGATGAACACAAACATTAAACCTGATGAAATCACAGTTGCTAGCGTGCTCTCTGCATGTGCTCATCTAGGCTCAATCGATATGGGCAAATCCGTCCATGACTACATTTGTAAAAACAACATAAAACAGGATTTATACGTTGGGAACTCTTTGATCGATATGTACTGTAAATGTGGCTCAACAGAGAAGGCATTAGAAGTGTTTCAAAAACTGGAACACAAAGATTCAGTTTCCTGGACCTCAGTCATTTCAGGACTTGCTGTGAATGGAAATGCCAATTACGCCCTTGACCTCTTCTCCAATATGTTAATGGAGAACACTAAGCCAAGTCATGGAACATATGTAGGGGTGTTGCTTGCTTGTGCTCATGCTGGCATGGTGGATAAAGGTTTGGAGTATTTTGAGAGCATGAAAAGAGACTATGGATTGCATCCAGAAATGAAACATTATGGATGTGTAGTTGATATGTTGAGTAGATCAGGTGATGTTGAAAGAGCATATGAGTTTATGAAAGAAATGCCAATGGATCCGGATGTGATAATATGGAGGATGTTACTAGGTGCTTGTAAGCTTCAAGGAAACATAGTCATAGGAGAGATTGCCACTAACAGACTCCTTGAATTGGATCCTGATAACAGTGGGAATTATGTTCTTTCATCAAACATTTATGCAAGTGCTGAGAGATGGGATGATGCTATGAAAATGAGAAAGTTGTTAAAAAAAGGTGATGTGTTTAAACCATTAGGCTGGAGTTGTTTGCAAGTTTGAGAGAATTTCGGATACAAAACATACATTACAAAAGTATACATATAAGAAAACTTAGTGTACAATAATATTTATTGTCTAGTCCCTATACAACATACTTTAACAAATCAACCTCAAAGATTAAACATAACCTTAATTGCATTACCACCCTGAGCACTTGTTTCAAATGCTTTCTCGACATCTTGTTGTGTAAACTTGTATCTGTGAGTTATAAGTGGCATCACATCAATCTTTTTGGTTCTCAGAAGCTCAATACATAGTGGCCATGTGTTTCTGTATCTAAATATCCCAATAACATCAATTTCCCTGTCATCAAACATTCATGTTAACAATATAGGCTAATACCAATCTACTATGTCTATGTGTGTGTGTGTGTGTGAAGTAAAATGTAAATGAAAGAAACCTTGAAGCTGCAGCAACCAAAGGGATGGTCATCTGAGTCTGTCCCAATCCCACAAGGCAGACTTTACCACCAGCCCGGGTGGCATTCAGAGCCGTTGACATTGTTTTATCAAACCCAACACAGTCAAAGCTTATGTCCACACTCTCACCCATGGCTTCCAAAATCTTTCTTGTTTCCTTTTCTATATCCTGTCCAATAAAATAAAAACGTACATTAATTAAGACTTGATAATTTATTTATATAATATCATGATTTTTTTTTAAAACCTGGATGTTTTTCGAGACTTGAATGGTGGCATCTGCACCAAGGTCCTTTGCGAATGATAATCGAAGATCATCGACATCAGCAACGATGATTTTGGGTGCTCCAAATGCACGGGCTGCCAGCATGGTTACAAGCCCAATAGGCCCAGCTCCGAAGATCAAGACTTTAGTATCTGGGCTCACATTGGCCCGTCTACAAGCATGTACACCAACGCTAAGTGGCTCACACATGGCACCTTCTTCCAGGCTCACATTATCAGGTAGCTTAAACACCAGATTTTCAGGATGAATCACCTGTGAATGATTCGAAAGAAAATCGAGTTGTTATTCTGCATTTAGTAACAGGAGATTAACTAGGTTTACCTGATTTGCAAGAGCGCCGTTGGTTGGGGGAGAACCGAAGAACTTCATCTTTTTGCATAAATTGTACCTTCCATTTTTGCAAAGATTACAGATTTGGCAACTGATACCAGGCTCCAGGGCTACTCGATCACCCACTGCTACACTTTTCACGTTGTGCCCGATTTCTTTGATGATTCCAGCACATTCATGTCCGATTACCATTGGTTTTTTCACTATGAAATTGGCAACTCGCATGTTCTAAATAATCAAAACGGTAAATCAATGAACTGAATTAATTACGCTATCTGTCTGGGATATGAATTAGAAGGGAGGTTTACGTTTACGTACCTTGAAGTGATGAACATCACTCCCACAAATTCCGAGAGCCTTGATCTCGACTTTTACATCGTTAGGGCCTAAATCGTTGAACAAAAATCAAGTGTAAAAAGATTATATAGAATATTTTACACTGTTTGCATCTTGAATTTTGGTATTGAAGTGTAGAGTATTTTTTATTCAATTTTTGTTGCAGGTGAAATGATTGGGAAAGAATAAGAACCTAGAGGAGGAAGATGGTAAGGTTGAATTTGCAGGTTCTTGATTCCAAGAAGCCAAGCTGCCATGTTCGTCTCTTCACCACCTTCATTCTCATTCTCTTGTGTGTGACTGTGCATCATCTTTCAGAAAGCAGCAGTACAACTGTCGAAGTCGATTATTGGTTGGTTTGATTTGAAGGTGAAAATCAAGATGGATATACAAATTATTAGGCATGATGTACCTTTTTCTCACGACTACTAATTATTGAGACGAAAAATCAAAGAATGCACGAGGATAATGTGTATCTCATCTCCAACAACACCGTAATACCAGAGAGTAAGCTCTATTTCTAGAGTTTAAGATAGATATTTTATTTTGTTCATAAATAAAATTATGAATAATGTTACTATAAATATAAAATAAAATTATTTATTATTTTATAAAAAAGTGTTAAGTTTCGGTTGTTATAATTGACCACTTAAATTTGATTTTATACATATATTTAACTTATTTAATTGGTTTTAGTTTAATTTTATAATTTTGAATTTGTTTAATTATACTATAATATAATATATTAAATATGATATTTGTTTTAAGTGTATTTAAAGTTTTAATATTGTTTAATAACTATAACACCATAACGTATTTAAATGTATGCGTAATATTTTTCAAATATATGTATAATGTTTCTATAAACGAATGCGTATGTTTATTTTAATATGTTATAAAAGATATATTTTATTTAATAATTTTTTTGTTTTACTAAAATCAAAGCTAATTTGATTTATTTTTATATGAATGCTCCTGTACTAACGCATACTTGTGAACTCGAAATACCTTACCGGAAAACATCTAATAATATTGATTACTGAAATACCTTACAGGAAAAGTAATCTGACTTTTGTTTAACTGTTATATTGTGCTTTATTATTCTGATGAACAATATTTTGTTAGAACACTTTCCTTTTCCCTTTTATGTTAAATAGGAGTCCCTAGTGGTGGTGGGTTGGTGGTGGTGATGCACGGTTGGAGATCTTGGGGGAGGAGATGAGACGAGTGGATGGAGGGGGATGTGTTTACACATTTTATATAAAACTAGGCGAATACCTTGCTCATAATACAATTATAAATTTAAACATAGTTAACTTTGATATAATAATTCTTATACTAATTTAGTATAAAATATTAATTATTTTGAATTATATTATCATATTAAATCTATTAAAACTATATAGGCTTAATCGTCATTTTAAAAACTACATTTGATTAACTTTTTAATTTCTATTACTGTAGTTATTTAAAACATCAAACATTATTTTTGTTTTTAAAGGTAACAATATTATTTTAACTATTATCGTTATAAGTTATTTGTAAGATACTTATTTAGAAATTATTAATGTTTATAAAAATAGTTTTAGGAAATATTCTAATTGATTTGGGATTACAATTTAGTTTTTACATTTAACACTATAATTTATAACTTATAACTATTTATAAAATAGTCATTGGATTTTCTATAAGTTTAATTGAAAATTTCATTTAAGTTAGTACTTTAACACTGTATTTAAATTAACAATTTATGTATTTTATACAAATTATTCAAAAGTTATGACTTTAAACTGACAATTTAAGAAATAACATATCAAAACTAAATATAAGTAAAATATGTTAATTTAATATTCAAATTTAATTAATTTTAGGATTACAATTAGCGTTTTACACCAATTTAAGATTATTAACCAATATATAATGATTATTATAAAGAAATTGCAAAGTAATGAGAATTTCAAATACATACGGTAAAAAGAAAAAAAATATATCTTTCAGATTTACATGGAAAATTTAAAATATTCACAACTTTTACTTAGTTACTTTTTTGAAGCGGTACAAAACAAACGATAATATTTAACATATCTAATTAAATATTATCTACATCACAATATATAACATATGATCGATAACATCTATCTGATCTAATATACATTAACGATTAAAGCACAACATACAACAATTGTAATAAAAGAATCCAAAACCAAGAAAAATTTATAAATAATTAGTATATAACAAACTTACAAATTAAAAGCTATAACATAATAATATATATCGAAAAGTGGTCATAAGACCTTAAACCAATAAAAAAACATTTAAGCTTGTTTCTTTATGAAGTTTGTATGTGATTTGTATGCATGTCTACCCAAAAGATTGATCCTTTTATAGTAAACGTTTCATTAAGTGCTTATTAATCATAATATAGGTTATAAAACCTTTGAGTGGTAAATCATTATTAAGAAGACTTTTGAGTTGTATTAGTTAAAAGATGGAGGTTTCAAATGAATGTGGTGTGAGCAAAAATGATTTTATATAGTCTTGGTAGTTTCAAATGCATGAGGTTCAAGGAAAAATGCTAGCTTTATAAGATATATAGATAGATTAATACCAAAAATAGTAATAAACATAAAAATAAGGGTCAAATTTTCTTTTTACCACGAGTTAATGGAAAAACTAAACATAGTTTTTACAAGAAGGATAAAATACATAATAAATGTTACTTTTAGTGGTCATCCAAAGAAAATAAAATAGAAACTAAACGTATAAAATTGTCTAAATTTTACTTGAGATATTATTAAATTTTTTTGTTGATTTAATAGGCTTTAAAAGAATGGTCCTTGTTTCTGTTATTTTAGACCAAATGCAAAATTATCATATTTAAAAAGACTCAGGGGCTGTTTGGTAGGGTCTGAATTTTTAAGATCTGAATTTTTAAGAGGTCTAAATTTCTAAGAGGGTCTGAATTTTTAAGATTTGAATTTATAACATACTGTTTGGTTGGAACATCTGAATTGCTATGCTGAATGATAAAAATGACCATTTTACCCTTCTGTATAACTTTTGTTTATTTCAATGTTTTTGTTTTAAAAAATAACTGAACAAACTCTTTGAATAATTATAAAAAATATATATAAACACAATAAATAATCCAAATCAAACAAAAATATTTTCAAATCCACCAAATAGTACTAAAATTCAAATAAAATCCAAACATAAATATTTCCAAACACGACACAAAAACTATTCCAATTTGTTCTTTCTAAAATTAACTGAACCATATCCTTCCGTTTTGATGTCTTTCCTATCTTGGATTTCTTCATGTGTGACATTCGTTGCATATGATCAACATCGATCTTTGAAGTAATCCTATAGCCTTCTGCAACACGAATTGGATGAATGTCAGGTTCCAATCATACTGAACAACTATAACTGATATAAGCCATATCCATGTTACGTCATGTAGAACAAAAGACCAATCAATCAAACCCTAATAAACAATTACAAGTAAAAGAAATCATGAAAAAATAAAGAAATCACTCCATCTTCTTCTCCCCTGCAACTCTAACCTATGTAAATGTTACATCTCAATTTCATGATTTTAGCATATAAACAAACAATTTCATCAGATGTAAAGGAGATAAACAAACAATTTCAGCAAACATACAATTTTAGCAGCTAAACAACCAATTTTATCAAAAAAATGAAGAACATATCACATACCTGAAGAGACGCATGGACTTTGATTTGTGAGGATGCAACATGACTTTTCACAAACAGTTGGCGGGTATAAGAGCTGTAATGAGTGAACTCCTAGGAAATTGACCGCGTAATTACAAAATTGATTGAATGGAACTTTGGATTATATAGTCTAGAATAAGAAATGCAAATAAAAACGAGGGGGAATGAAAAATCACACAGAGGTGGTGGAGGGGTTCATTGCCACAGTCGACGATTTTGAAATTTGAATCACATGACTTTCGGGATAAAAAAAAACTTACCACAGTCGGCGAATTTGAGGAAGATGGAGGGGTTCATTACCGGTGGAAATGGCGGCGCAGGTAGAGGCGATGGTCGGCTGATGGAGTCGATTTCAGGGAGGTCGACGACGAGAGGAGGTCAGAGGAGGTGATCGACGCTCTACAGGGTCGGAGGTCGGAGGAGACGGAAGAGAAGATATGAACGTGGGTGTTTTGTTTTGGAGGCAGACATATCAGCAGCGCATGAGGGTAAAAGAGGGAAGGACGCGTGATTTTTTTTTCAGATACGAGCCAAAGTCTGAAACTTTAAGAGGTTTTTAGAAAATTAAGAGACTTTTATTCCTATGCTACCAAACACTCTTAATCTGAAAAATTAAGAGGCTACCAAACAGCCCCTAACACTTATTCCTTTAAGATTTAAGGCGCGAAGAACCAATTTGTGTAGGATTTGGAAAACTCAGAGACTTTTAGTATTAGTTTTTCTAAATATTAGATTAAAACTGTTAATTTGATCAAATCATAGGGACCAATTATGTAACTTACTCTTTGTATAGGGTTTATTCTTTTGTATAGGGTGTTACTAAATACTAATAATGATGGTGATAGTGAGATAAAAGAAAATCTCCAATAAAATTTTAATATTTTGGACCGGTTTACGATTTAGTCCCAAATTAAATTTTGTTTACAAAAAAAGACAGATTATTGGCTAAAACTTCGGAATAACCCTTCGTGGAAGGTTTCACAGATTTAGCCGGTATCTTGTATTTTTTCGTTAATTGATCCAAATTTTGGGGCTTTTTCATTAATTGATCAAAATTTTGAGGCATTTTCATTATTTTTTACCAATAACCAAAATATTTGGATTTTTCTGAAGATTACCTTTAAACTAATGTATATTATATGTTCTAAGTTAAAATGTATCATTCTGCGTCTTCTTTCATGCGCTCTTTCTAGGCTTACCGTGTGTTTTCGTCGTCGTCGTCGAACCCAACAACAAAAAGCTCACTTACAAGCATCGTTAACTCCATCGATTTTCCAAAATCATCCATTCACAACTCTGTGATCATCTTTCAATCTCCAAACTTAGATTCCTTGTCATGAAAAATGTTTTTTCATCGATTTTTTCTTGCCAAAAACTAAAGCATTCCAGAAGCTCCAAATAGACTAGAATGTAATAATGACAACCGCCTGCAAGTATTTCCTTGGCGCATTATAAATATTCAAATGATATACACAAGAAAGTCATTCACGCACTATAGCATACGATGGGATATCAACCCCCGCCAATGACCAACCTAATGCTAAATGGAAGAAATCAAGTCACACTCATAATCAATGAACATGTTCAATAGACTCTGCCTGGATATTATAAATCGGACACAAAAATGTGTTGACATCAATTGTAATTTTGCCACAACTGCTAGGGAACGGATTTTGAGGTGGTGTGGTATCCCAACTGGGCAGTTTTATGGACTTGTAGATTTCATTGACTATGCTGCAAATAGACCTAGCAAACGTGTCGTGTCGTGTCGGGTTCGTGTCATGTCAAAACAGTAAACGGGTTGAGAGAGATTGACCCTAACACGACCCGTTTAATTTTTTTTAGAACCGACAAATATAAATATATATAGTTTACTCTTAAAATAACACCTAATTTCACCTATGTCCACGACGAGACTTGAACCCTCGACCTTAAAGAGGGAGGGCACCACCTAATACCGTTGAGCTAGAAGCCCTTTGGTAACCCGTTTATTTTTGTGTTGAGTTCGTTTTGTGTTTCGAGTTAAGGGTATAGCTCAAAATGTGTCGTGTCATGTGAGGTCGAAACAGTAAACATGTTAAAAGAGTATGATTTGGATAGGTGGAAAGGAAATGTAATAGTTGGGAGACGAAATGACCAAATGTATATTAAGTTTAGAGAGCAAAATGGAATGAATATGAGTTGGAAGGAAAAGGGAGTGATCATGAGGAGGGGGGAATGATTGAGGGGACTGTGTAATTTGGGCGATAACAAAAATATTAAAAATGAAAGTCTTGACTAAGACAACTAAGTGTATTCCACGTTACAAAACGAGTCAACCCAAAGATTTTCTTTTACGTATTGTTTTGGTTTTTAGTCTTTCTAGTTTATTTAAAATATTCAGAAAACTTACATATAAACGGGTCATTTTCAAGTTGAAATTTTCAACCCTAACCTTACCCGTTTACTTTTCGTGTCGTATCGTGTCAACCCGTTTAATTAAACGGGTTGAAATATTTTACCCAACCCCGTTTATTTTGTGTCGGGTTTTGTGTCGAGTCAGTTTTTGCCACCTCTAGCTACAAAGTGGGGCAATTGCTTGAGAAAACGCAAAATCATTACTTCCATCTTATATTGTTTACTTTGGTGTGTATGGATGACGAGAAATAACAGAGTGTCCAACCAGAGTTTCTCATCCCCTACGAAGATTGTTGATAATATCATGTCTTTATAATTTTTATGGTGTAAGCATAGAGGTAACTTAGCCCCTAGTAATTTGGTTTATTGGTGTTGTCTGCCCCTTTCTTTTCTAGACTTGTAACTGTACATTTTGTTCCTCCCATGTTTTTAGCTCCTTACTAGTCATGGTGAGCGGTTTCTAATTTATTTGTCGTTTCAAAAAAAAAAAAAAAAACAAACCACATCTCATTCCAAAAACTAGTCAAAGTAATGTCCCCACCTTTTCAATGACAAAAAATCTAAGTTTGGAGATTGAAAGATGATCGCAAAGTTCTAAATGGATGATTTTGGAAAATCGATGGAGTTAACGATGCATGTGAGTAAGCTTTTTGTTGTTGGGTTCGACGACGACAACGAAAACACACGGTGAGCCTAGTAAGAGCGCAAGAAAGAAGACGGGGAATGGTACATATTAACTTAGATCATATAATATACATTAGTTTAAAGGTCATCTTCGGATGTAGTTTTTAAAAGAATTAGCTTTACCATACAAAAAGGCTTAGCGGCGCAGCTTGTTGCCCGTTTGACATCTCACTCATTGTACGATGATAATTAAATGAGCAATGAATGGAAGAAATTTAAAAGAAAAAAAAGATTAACTAAAAAAGACGAGATACCGGCTAAATCTGTAAAACTGGCCACAAAAGATTATTCCGAAGTTTTAGCCGGTAATCTGCCTCTTTTATAAAAAAAATTAATTTTAGATTAAACTATAAAATAGTATAAAATATTAAGATTTTATTAGAGGTTTCATACGATATAAATGGATAAAATATATGAATCGATGATAAATGAATAATACACGTGTATATCAGTCCGATCGACCTATACTTTTGTCGATGAGATGCATGAATTTTATATTAATATATTTACCTTTCATTTCCAATTTTTAATTTTACAATCCTATTCTTATCCAAATTCATAATTTTAGTATCACAAATTAATAAAAATTGCAGAAAAATAGACAAGTATATATCACCACAAGGGTAGAAGAAGAACAAGTAGCGATATCAGTCCTCATCGATCATTTTAAAGTTGTAGAGAGATTGAGAGATGGGTAAGGGAGGAAAGAGTGATGGCTCAAATGTTGAAGAAGAAAACATGGCTGCTTGGCTTGTTTCCATCAACACCCTCAAGATCCAGCCCTTTAAGCTTCCACCTCTTGGTATCCTTTCTATCTTCATCTTCCACTTCTTAATTTCAAGTTTGTACAAGTAAATCGAGATTAATTTCAATAGTTGATCAACTTGATTGAATTGATTCAGGGCCTTATGATGTTAGAGTAAGAATGAAAGCTGTGGGTATCTGCGGTAGTGATGTTCACTATCTCAAGGTCCGTCATCATCCCCCTCACCCCTTTTAGGGTTTCATCTGATTCTGGATTATGTGATTTCGCCAAATTGAATAATCAGAACCCTCTTTTGAATTATGGATGCTTCTTAATTATTATTGCTATTTGCTTGATAGAATATATAAAGTAACAATCGATGTAATTGATTCCCGATACAAATTTTACTGTGAAAACATACGCAGACATTAAGATGTGCAGATTTTGTGGTGAAAGAACCGATGGTTATCGGACATGAATGTGCTGGTGTGATTGAAGAAATTGGCAGCAACGTGAAGGATCTTGTCCCTGGTGATCGTGTAGCTCTTGAGCCTGGAATTAGCTGCTGGAGATGCACACAATGCAAAGAAGGCCGATACAATCTTTGCCCGGATATGAAATTTTTCGCCACTCCTCCCGTCCACGGATCTCTTGCCAATCAGGTAAAGTTTTATACTTTTACATCGTCATCGTCCCCAATAAGATGTTGAAACCCTAATTTTGATTATGGGTTCAATCAACAGGTGGTGCATCCAGCGGATTTATGTTTCAAACTGCCGGAAAATGTGAGTTTGGAAGAAGGTGCGATGTGTGAACCGTTGAGTGTCGGAGTCCATGCTTGTCGTCGTGCTAATATAGGCCCTGAAACAAATGTTTTGGTCATGGGGGCGGGGCCCATCGGCCTCGTCACCATGCTTGCTGCTCGAGCTTTTGGAGCTCCGAGAATCGTTATTGTTGATGTTGATGACAACCGGTTGTCAGTCGCAAAAGAGCTTGGAGCAGATGAAATCATCAAAGTCTCGATTAATATTCAGGTTTTGTTTTGTCGATCTCTAAACCCTAAATTTTTAATTGCAAATCGATCGGCTGAAATTATTTGTTTAATGAACTTAGGATGTGGAAGGAGAAGTGGAATCGATACAGAAAGCCATGGGAGGTGGAGTGGATGTGAGCTTTGATTGCGCAGGTTTCAACAAGACAATGACAACGGCTCTCACCGCCACACGTGCCGGCGGCAAAGTGTGTCTGGTGGGGATGGGCCACCATGAGATGACTGTTCCGCTTACTCCGGCAGCCGCCAGGTGAGTTTCCTTTTTGAACTCTGTTTATAGAATTTGATTTGGTTGCCGAAAAACTGAATGGTGGTGGTGGTGGTGGTTGATTAGGGAGGTTGATGTGGTGGGGATCTTCCGGTACAAGAACACGTGGCCTTTGTGTTTGGAGTTTTTGAGAAGTGGGAAGATTGATGTGAAGCCATTGATAACTCATAGATTTGGTTTCTCTCAGAAGGAAGTGGAAGAAGCTTTTGAGACGAGTGCACGTGGCGGCAGCGCCATTAAGGTTATGTTTAACCTTTGAAGAAGAACTCAAGAAGAACAAAAATAAGTGAAATATTGCTTTTAAATATTTTGTTGTAATTTTCATGTTTGTGAAAATGTGTATCTCCTGTCTGAAAGTAATTTATAGTATTTTCATCAAGTTTTTTGTACTAACATCAACAAGTAAATAAGTGAAATATTGCATTTAAATATTTGGTTGTCATTTTCATGTTTCTGAAAATATTTTCATGTTTCTGAAAATGTATATCGCTTATATGAAAATACTAATATTTATTAATCCATAAGAAATATTTAATAGACTTAGCGGGTAAAAGAGCAATAAGATGTGCCGCAACCCTTTTTTGGATGACAAAACTAATTTTTTAAAAACATCTATAGATCTTGGAGTCATAACATTACTATGCATGACCTGTTGGACTCTATTAAGTAGCTCCACAGCTTCTGGCAAAGTATAGGATATCAAAATGCAAAGGGTATGAAAGTAATTTATAGTATTTTCTATCAAGTATTTTTACTAACATCAACAAATAAATAAGCTTTAAGCTAGAAGTTTTATCCATGTAAGGATCCTACTAATGAGTTTAAAATCCACTCTAATAAGTAAAAATCGTTTTTGTCACATGGCATACTCTTATTTATTTTGTCATATGTCATTTTTGGTTAATTTAAATTAATTTTTTCCAAATGTTATTTTATCGTTTTTTTCTTTTTTATTAAACTCCATATAAATGTAATAATTGTAATAAATGTAATAATAAATGAATATCAATTTTATTAATGCAACTTTCCTTCTAATTTCTAAATTTCTAAATTGGAGACCAGTTATTTCCTTTGTTTATTTATTTAAATCATTTGTTTAAATTTAAAAGAGAAATGAACATTTTAATTTCAATAATTTTCTCATTTTTCTTATAAATTTAACCTTCCTAAATGTTTAGATCACCATATTTTTTTAGTAAACTCGTGTAATACACGGGTCTTACAACTAGTTAGTATAATAACAATAGAAACAACTCTACTTTGAATAGTGAAATTAGTTTAATATCACTAGAATAGTGAAAAAATTTATAAACAAAGATACAAAAACTATGAAATAAATCTCATAATAGTTATTTTAACTTTGTTAGATCGAGATATTTAGTGGGAGAATTTCATATATGCATTCTTAAACATCATGATATCATATTTGTCCGACTTATTTTCTAAATATCATATTTAACCTTCATAAAATTTTAAAATATCATATATACCTTTCTTAAACATCAAAATATCATATATATATATATATATATATATATATATATATATATATATATATATATATATATATATATATATCATTATTAAATATCAAAAGATCATATATGTCATTTTTAAATATCAAAATATCATATATGTCTTTTTTAAACATCAAAATATCAATGTTAATATATAAAATATCCTCCGTCTATAAAATTACAATAATCAACAACAACAAAAACTAAGCAATCAAATCATACATTCTATGGAGAGGGTTGAAGATGAAGCGTTTTGTTTGTCAAGTAGACTTCCAACAATTTAGAAGTAGACGTTCTATATCATAGAGTTAAGGATACTATAGTTAAAATTTTTAATTATTATAATAATTCTAAGATATAAAATATGATTATAAACTATAAAAAAATTTATAAAAAATGATTTGGACAAATATGATACTTTGAAGGTTTATTAAGGTTAAATATGATATTAATAAATTAAATTTGGCAAATATGATATTTTGAGGTTTAAAATGATATATATGAAATTCTCCCATTTTCAGCCTAGTAAGCTTGACAATAAGCTCCAGTTTTTGTGTAACGTCCAGAAAACGTCAATAAAATTTTCATTTTAAAACATCGAGTCATACAACCAATTGATCTAAAACCAAAAGTCAGTAAAATTATATTTTCAACATCAGAGTATATCAAAGTATTCAATGCGGAAAAAAACCATAAGGGGATGCAATGCAGTCAAGTCGGACCATTCCCTCTGGAACTGGAAGATGGGCAGTTAATTGCGTCGAGATCTCGATGAAATCTTGGTCGGATAGCGTTTCGCGGCTGTTGGCCAAATTGCGGTTTCAAATAACACTTAGAATAGCAGAGCCGCTAATATCGTCGAGATTAGCCGAGACTGGCCGCTATTTCAACATCGAGATCTCGGTTTTTTACCGCTATTTCACAAAATCGATTTTAGTTATTCGGATTGCTTTTTCTTTCTGATTCTATCGCATTTTTCCTTTTTTTCTATAGATTAATATTATATAAAAACGATTAACTTATTTATAAGGAATATTTAATTGATTGATTTTACGTAATTCAGTGAACTGATTGGATTCAGATTTTGGAATAGAGGCAGGGGGTAGCCAATATAGGGCAAGAGTAGGCCTTGGCCCACCCACAAAAAAATTAAGGTTACATATATATTGTATGTACAATATATACTTTTTTTAAATAAAAGGAATTAGGGTTGAAGAATTTTATCACTCGTTCATATTTTGTATATTTTTTTGGCATATCCTAAAAAAAAATCTTGGCTACGCCACTGAATAGAGGAGTTGTGACCGTGATTAGATTTTGGACCGCGATAACTGCATAGACTAGAATTACTTGAAAAATGTTTAAACCACAAACCGTAAGCACAAAGCTTAGTGAGTTCCATAAAATACCACATATTATACATACAACTGTCATGGGCTACCCCTATGTTTTTTTCCCTGGAATGTCATGGGTTACCCCTAGGGTCTGACAACCAAGTGTCATGGGCTACCCTCATGGTCTAACATCCAAGTGTCATGGACTATCCCATGGTATTTCATGCAAGTGTCATGGGCTACCCCCATACTCTTTCATACAAATGTCACGGGCTACCCCTGAAGTATTCCATGCAAGTATCACAAAGACAGCTAGCATTCTACATAGTACAATGAGAAGACTCACCTCAAACTGTAGACAAACGAATACCGCTCTCGAGCTGCCTAAAGTGGAACTCCCCACACTAAACAATACACCACAAGACCCTAATTAGAAATCAAAGTAATTAATTCACACCCAAGGGTCTCAACTCATATTCACTCTCTCTTTCTGGGTAAAAGATCATTTTACCCTTCCAAGACTAGCCAAAACATTGGCCCCAACCTATAATAATGGGCCTAGCCTTTCCTAAACAATGGGCCAAACCCATCATACATTTGGGCCTAGCCCGTCATATAATGGGCCTATCCCAACATACAATGGGCCCAACCCTCTCATGCAATTAGGCCTAGCCCTACATGCATGTCCATGGCCCAACCTAACATATAATGCAAGAGTCACCAAGACAGCTAACATTCTACCTAACACATTCCAGTGGGCCGACATTGGTGCCTTTGACCCACAACTATAGTGAGGAGACTCACCTCAATCTAGAGATAGCTGAATCACACACGCGCTACTGCTACCAGGCTCCTCAGACTAAACATATCCAAAATCATCCCTAAGCAATATTTAAGGCAATCACCCATAATCTAAGATCCAATCATATTCCATTATGCTAAGGGTTAAAAAACCATTTTACCCTTCCCATACTTGACCCAAAGATTCCTGGCCCAACACCCAAAAGACCCAAGGCCTAAAAATGGCCCAAAAGCCATTCTAGTGAGTACGCCCCGCGTACCACCCTAGTACGCCCGACGTACTGCATGCTGAAGCCCCATTTCTCCTTCTAAGCTCTTAAGTCCTTAAGACAAAATGTCTAACTTCCAAATCTGATTCCAAGGGACATCTTAAGTCATAAAGTTCCTAACTTTATGACTTTGCATGTCTTAATGATGTCCAAACCAAATACCTAAAGTCATAACTTCACCAAAAAAAGGCCACTAACTCATGCGTGGAAGAATTATACTCATCAAGATTCGATTTTTATGCTACATGAACCTCATGTCTGATAATAAATGACGCTCTTAAGCTTTGGAGTAGCTTTTACTCACAAGAACCAAAACCATAGGACCAAAACATGGAAATTATAACCCAAAAGTAGATCTACAAAAAGAACCATCAAGTTTGAAGATTTATACCTCCAGAAGAAAGATCAAGATGAACAAGGTCTGGATCTACAAGCTCCAAGAAAACCAACACTTCTCCAATGAGCTCATTCTTCTCCAAGATGCACCAAGAACACTCCAAAACACTCAAAGCTCAAGAATCTCACAAATGGGGCTAGGGTTTCGAATTTAGGGTTAGAGAGGATGGATGCTAAAGGTAAGAAGGGTTTGCAATAAGTTAATGTCTTTAAATAGGGTTCAAGACCCAAGTATTAGGGTTTGCTTCTGATGTATGTATGCCCATCGTACTCCTGGTACGCCTAACATACTAGGGTGAACCTCCGCGATCATTTAAGCCTAGTACGCCTAGAGTACGCCCTGTACGCCCAACGTACTAGCCTAAACCCAAAACCTTCCTAACTTCTAATGGTCATAACTCTCGCGTCCTAAATTTGATTTCGACGTTCTTTATATGCTCGAAAAGGTAATGAAAAACCCTATCATCCCATCTAATCTCTTTTGACTCAAAACGTTCTAAAATAGAATCCTTGATTCAATAAAAGGCCTGAATCATCATTTTTACTACTGGAAGCAAAGGATCCATACTACTGGAAGCAAAGGATCCATACTCAAATCGAGGGAAGTCATGAGGATTCTAAGGAGCTGGTTGAGGGTAGATAGCATGATTCGTGGCAATGATTCTGTATATGTCGATCTTTTGGTTATGATTGTTCAGGTTGAGGATGGTTCCGGTGATTGTTTGGGCCTCAGTGGCCATGTAAGTCTGGGTTAGAACGGTGCATACCTAGGTAAGTTAGTTGATTTTGAGGTATTGAGGGCCTTGCTCGAGGTAGTGCCAGTGGAGTCGCGAGAGTCAAGAAATAAGCGATTGTTATGATCGACTCGAGGATTGCAGCCGGAGGCTAAGTGATTGGCAGATGGATTGGAGTGTCACTATATATGACGGGCGTTGTGTTCTTCTAGCTTTCCGTGTTCGGAGGAAAGAGAGAACAAATATGTGATTTTCAAAGTTGGGATGTACACCCAACATGTGGCTAGATGGTTGCGGTTTTTGGCGGCAGTATGGCAATATAGGAATGCATAAGAGGATTCTTGTGGTA